GTTCTCTACCGCGTCAGCCTGATATTGCTCAGAAACTTGTTCGTTCACTCCAGACTCAAACACCACCAAAGCACCCATTCCAGTTTCTTCTTCAGAATCGCTCAAAGTGATCACCGCCTGATCATCTACAGCCATTGGGTCAAAACAAGGCCTCTCACTCGGGTTAGTACGCTTCTTCGTAGTTTTACGGCGAGGGAGCAGCCTCAAACGGTCAGCCATTAGGAGTGTACACAGAAGAATTTCAGCTAGCTGATTTGAGGCAGCAAACACCAGGTTCTCCGGCACCAAAAAAGGTTTTTCTAATTTACTTCGAAGACTCCATTCTTCCCCCTTTCCTAGGATAAAGCATGCCTAAAGACGCTATCCCAAAATCTTCTTGAGAAAAAGCTGACACTGAAACATCACATGCCGCCTTTGCCATCCCAAACATTTCCACATCAATGTTCTGTGGTCTCGCATGAACCACCTTAATCTCATTATTACCCCTCTTTCCATTAATTTCCACAGGATATCTAGCCGGATTGTTAAGAATAACATTCGCTTCTGGAAACCGTCCCACATGTACCCACATCTAGAAAGAATTTGAATTATTGAAAACAATCTACCCTCTCCGAGAATTGCATTGAAAACGACTTCGGAATAAGTTATTCCAATTTGGATTTTTCCGGTGACGATTCACCGGACCAGCATAGCCAAACTCCTTCCTCCCAAAGTTCCCGCCAAAACCAAAAAAGCATGATGCGCACCTCGTCGACGGCTCTCAGTCCCCTCCTTCACAAGGCCCTGTACTATATATGGGGAAGCCAAATTATGCGATTGATTGCCCACTACCCCTCCCAAATCTTCCAGCTTCACGTGCCGACCTTTAATCTTATTTGTCTTGGGTACGGAGCGTCCATAAAAAGGTTGATTTTTACTCTGACTACTAACTCATTGGGACCATCAAGAAAAGTGTGATCAATCTCACAATATTCTTCAAAAGTGTTTACAATCTCCTTAAAAACATTCTCACACCAAGCATGGATAGGAATCCCCCACAAACTGGCCCACCTTTGTTCATTTTTGCACAAAGGATGGCTGCATCGATGGGCTCCACTCCAAAAGAGTCAGTCATTAGAGATCCATGAACTATGTAGAATCGTTCCTTCCACGCACTTTGAATATCAAACTCAATACATAAGATAAAAGCAGCCCTACCATTACCAAGTGAGAAGACATCCGGTAGATATGGTAGATCCTAGCCACGTTTAGCCTAATCGCTAAACCCAAAAGTATCTGAAAGTGGCAGACAAAAGGAGCCAACCACAATCCTGCACTCCTTCCTAGTAGCTTCATCCCAACTTCCTATATCAATCGTAGGAACCCCAGTAGAAGACTCATGTAAAATTGCAACAAAGCTCTTCCCTCCCTCCATCCAATTGGCCATCACCTTCCTCCTCACCTTTTCCAAAAGCTCTTTCCCTCTCTCTATGTCTATCTAAGTCTTCTTGACGCCGTCTATATATCAAAATGGAATGTTGTTGTTTGGGTACCATTTGGATGCAACCTGGGCATGTATTGCTTTTGTTTGGCTATGTCCGTAAGAAATTTGAGAAATGCATTACCGTTATTTTGGGTTGGAAAACTGCATAAAAATTTGGTTTAAAATATAATTAATTTATTTTAAAAATTAATTTTAAAAATTAATTTTAAAAATTAATTTTATTTAAAAATTTTCTTTTAAGAAGTTATAAATCGGTAAAATAATTTTATTCAAAATTACAAAAAATTTATTACCTTTGGAATAAAAGTAATTTCAAATAGAAAGTATATAAAAGTAATACCTTATAAGGATGGAGTTCGGGGAACATAGGGATTGCGCTCCTAAAATTATGGTAGCGGGGATCTAATTTATTTGGGAACGAGATCTACAATTTTAATGAATGCATGCCGTGCGATAGTGAGATCGAGATCTGTTGTGAATGAGATTAGAATCCTTCAAATAGGAACCAGCTCTCGAAAAATTTAAAACAAGTTCCGATCAAGATCCCAAACATGAAGCGCCAGAGCTGCATTCCGGAACAGGAGCGCACCTTGATTGGGCGCTCCCAATAACTATGGGTAGAACTACTATTCTTTTATAGTCCACTGTAATGTTGCTTTCTCTTTTGCCGTCTAGATAGGTGTTTTTCTTTTCCTTATGTCTTTTTCTTGTTGCTTGTTTTGATGTTTGTTTTTTCCTTTACTCTTTTTCTTCTTCTTTTTCGGTTCTTGTTTAGGTGCATGTTTTTCTTCTACTCTCTTGTTCTTCCTTACTTCAACTCCTCGTACTTTGTTTCACTCTCTAACTTGTATGTTCAAAAAAGAATAAAAAATTATTTTAAAATTTTATTAAAAATAGAAAATTAATTTCCAAATTTAACTTAAAAGTATTTAGGAGATATAATTAGGAAAAGTTTTCAATATGTGGGAGCCGTATTGAACCCAAGTGCATAGCTTTTTACTATTTATAGTTGGATAATCTACAAATCACATCTTTTTAAAATATAAACGTTTGTGAATGGTGATTTACTAAGTATATACTTTATTTTATAAAAATTTATTTTTTGTGATACCTTATTTATCAAATAGGTATATATGTAAATATCGCTAAAAGACAAAAGATATTTTAGTTATCTTCATAAGCAGTAAAGTTGAAATTTTTATTAAAAGGCAAGAATATTTTTTCGATATTAACTTTTAAAATACGTTTTTGTAAAAATTTCAAATTTATCCCTTTTTAATGATTAGTTATCTATTAAAATATTTTTTAAACTCAAGTAGTGGTTTTACACATCCTGTTCTAATATTAACATTTACATTTTGAGAGGTTGTTAACTCTAAGACAAACCCCCTTACAGTGAAGCAAATAGAAAAAAAAGAAAAGAAAGTAGAATATAGAAAATGGTAGAATAACAACGACGCTTTGATAAAAAAACCTATTAATAACATATTTAGGTTTTAAAGACAGAGTGATAGAGAGAGACATGGAAGCATTGCGCCGTAATGAAGGGAAAATGGAAGTGAAAATGGCAGCAATTACATAAGCCCAAAAACTTCTTACTCCCTCCGACAAAACACATGCTAGGTATATTTTTTAGGTCTCAAATTTTGGGATGTAATCTCTAAAACCTATAGAACAATCTCAGCATAAAGAATTTCAAAAGAAATTCTCCATATACTAAAAAAAAAAAAACTAATGCCTCAAGATTGAATAGAAACCATCCAATTTTGAAGGGCTAGATCTAAGTGTCACAAAATTCAAAATTCAATTTCTTTTGTTTTAAAAGTAATCTAGTAATTCTCATGTGCTTCCCAAAAATTTTAGACTGAAAAAATCCTCCTAAATGATACATGTAAACTCAGTCATCCATTGCCAAAAATGGACGGATGATATGAACTGTTTCATGGCTCAAAGAATCTTCGACAAACTTGAGTAGTGCAAAAAGGATCAGGTCCAACAGCTAAGAAAAATTAATTATGCTCGTAGCATATTTAACAAGATGCTGCAAGCAATAGGGTTTATTTTCTTATTGTAAATCTATTTTTCAATTAAATCCCTCTTTAATTTCGTCTCCACTCAAGCCAAATATCATAAATTGAAAGTTGGAAAAACATAATAAGGGTTTATAATGAGAAAAATGAGTTCTAACCCTCAACACTTGGGAGATTCATATCATTTAGCAAATTCGTTTTGCTAACCTCAAATAGCTAAAGTATTGATGTCATTTGGCTCGTGCCACTTAAAAAGAGCTAGATTAATACTTAAGGTTACCAACCCTGAATATAGGCAATTTGGCGATTTTCTTAAAATAAAGATTGAGGGGTTACTCCTGTGAGATCGAATATAAAAATAAATATACTAGTGACAAATAAGATCATTGACCACCTAAATAACAATATAAAGTAGTTTGAAAAGAATGCATTGCTACATGCAAATAAGGACCATTTTATTCAAAATAATATTAGTAGATATTCTGGTTTCGTGGGACTCTCTTTCATGTTTACCTTTTGTTCGTTCTTGTTTTTTTATATTTTTCTGAGATTGTATACAATAAAGCCATTTACTTTTAATACAAGATGGTCACAATTACTTACAACCATCCAATGTGAAGCTTGATAGCTTGAATGTGTCGCAAAATGTCGAAAAAAAAAATTTAAAACTTTAAGCTTGATCAATAGAATAATTGCAGTAATGATCAAGATTGTCTCATCTTGTACCAATGGTAAATGACGTCATTCTATACTTTCCCTATTTTCCCTCCTATGAGGGTGATTTCCTTATTTCAGACCTTACATGAATGCAGTAATTACTAACCAATATAGCCACCCATATGTATGCCATGCCCTCAGTCTCTCTAACCTGAAAATGGTACAAAAAATAAAAGAGCCTCTTTGTAGACATTCCCAAAGTTGGCAGCAGTGTTTTAAAACTCAACGATTATCGATCCGTATCGCTGAACTGTATGGGAATTAATCAGGCCCAAACAGGTTCAAGGATGGTATGGATCCCGACCCCATTCCCCCCTGAAATCGCCCTACAACTTAAAATTATCTATATATTTTAGTCCCTAGAAATTCCCTCTAAAAAAAATCTCCGATGTCCTTAGAGAGGAAGAATAATACAACCTAGCAATCTGCATTTAACATCTATGGGCCACAATGTTGAACAATAAATTCCCATGAAACATTGTATACAAACCTCAATTTAATTAATCGGGTTTGGTGTGTGAACAGACTACGGACGGATTTTGGACTTAGAAGCTCATATGTGGATAATGTCAACCATCAATATCATGAATCTGAGAAAATAATAATCATAACTAACAAAAATAATTTTGAACTTTTTTTTTTGGGGACCGTTCATCATTGTTACAATTGAAATAGTGAATGAACCGGACAAAACTTTGCCAAATGTTATAAACATTTCACAGCAAAAAGATGGGATTTCAACAACAAAACTGAAAGAAAAGAGGATCACAGGAAAAACACAAAAACATAATTCACTAGACAACAACAATCATATAACTTACAAACAATATCACAACCATTATGTCTGAGAGACATCCATTCTCATTGAACTACATATATATAAAAGGAAGGAAGACAGAAAACAAAAAAGCGATGAAAAGCGATAAATGAAAATGAGAATAGCATCGCTTAACTTAGGTGACATGAAATTCTCCACTAGCATGCGCTTCCTTGACTCGCTTATCATACTCATCTTCCTCACCATCATCTTCTTCGTATTCTTCATCATCTTCTGCATCATCCTCCTCATCTGGGGCCCACCCAAACCCACCGATCGATCTTGAGGAAGGGGGTGGTGTCCTCGCCTCCCCCACAATCTTCATGATGTCTTCAACTGATTGAAAGAATAGGCTTGGATTCTCGCGCTGATAAAATGTCGCTTGAGCTGCCTCCGTGAGCTCTCTAGGCAAGTTCTTCAGAAACCATGGGTGGCTCTTTATCTCCTTGATTGTGATCCTCTAAAAATATGAAAATAATCAATCAAGGGAAGAAAAAAGGAACACGATATAAAGAAGAGGGTTGGGATAATTGGGGTAAACTAGCCATTGTATTGTTCACTGCACAAAGCTCTAATTTGCAAAATTCATCTTTTTTTTCTATTTTTAACTTGTAATTTTGTATTCGATTTTTTAGAATTTATGCCAGGATAAAATGTGTATTGTTCAACTATTCTTAAAACTATACTGTTTCCAACATCTATTTATGAAATTGTTTATACAATTTTAACTTACAAATATTACATAATGGACTTCTTAATTCAACTACTATTTGTTTTCAAGATAATTAACACTAATTTTCCAATTAGAGATCTGAAATCTAGAAAAGACGAGATGCAAGTCCCATATTCTCGACAGAGGTTGGTTGGAAGCAAAGATAAAAGCCAGCTTTACCTAATGTGATTAGAGAAAGTGGTTAATGTGGAGGGGTTTAGAAGTCCTAAAAACCAAAATAATCACCACAAAAAACTTCCCAATGAACTAAACCTTCGATTTAATTTTAATTTTTTATCTTTGGTGCTTCCATTGCCGCCAGCGCACCAGCCCACCTTGTGTTGATCATGCCAGAAATCAGTGCTGATCTCTACGAGAGAATTGAAAAGCAAGGGTGAGAAAACAGTTCTCGGTTGATGTTAGTTACCCCTAATTGTTTTATCTCTATTGACGCTGTTATAACACAAGACACTGAAACTTGCGAAGTTCTGGTCAGGTCAGTTGGACCAGTTCCTACCTAGACAAGATAGGGTTCTGACTACCTTCACAATTAGGTTCATTAATATAGCTTACGAACATGATTTTATTATATCCAAAAGTCAAAAAAGGAATCCAAATGAAGATATGTATGGGTTTCAGGCATTGTAATCTAGAGTCACGCAGGAGGGTTTTATTCACCTACTATAGATGGGTGCAGTTGGCCTACGGATGCATCCGTAGGTGTAGAGGTAAGGTGCACCTTCAAATTTTATCATGGTATATAATTTTGATGTAAAATGTTCTTAGGATTATCTCAAAATCTATGTTTATATCTAATTATAAAATTTTAAATTTCAAAAATGGTTAAAATCAAGTAGATTTATAAACAAATGAAACTCTTGAAAATGGACGGTGTAAATAATATGTTGTAAAATGCACTATTTCTGAGACT